TATGCTCCAAGCTTTCAACTATGCATGGTACACAAATGTTAAATAATTATCTTATTTTTTTTTAAACTTCAAATCTGTTAATAAGAATACATGACATTTGAATGATATGTATAGCTTTCTACTTTTTAAAAAAAAAATTATCAATTCATGTTGATCCATGTCACTAAATATTAGGCAATATATATTAAAATAAAATTGATAGAATATCAAAGTTGGTAACGTGTATGAGTAATCGATTACAGGTAATGACTCTAACCCTAAATCGTGCATGTTCGAAGCATTTTAATTACCATTTGTAATTTGTTTGAAAGATATTGTAATTTGTTTGAAGAAATAAACATTAGATTATGTTCTGTTTTTACTAATTTAAACTCTTCCTTCGTATTTGAGACTATTGTGAATTAAACGCCTTCAAACCCAATACTAAGTAAATCTGTGGGAAACTAGGACATATGAAGCTATAATCTATTTAGGTAAGAATGAGACTAGGTCACGAGCTCATGGACTAGCCTGTGATTAGGCCCAGATTGATCATTTAACTGATCCAAGCGTATGCCTTAGCCCACTAACACAGAGTGAGCCAGATTATGTCAATACCTATTTGGTAGTCGTTGCTAAATACTATGCAACTTTCATCTTTGAGCTTGGGAAAAATGGGGCAAAGACATATGATGGGCTGAATTGGGATCAAGCCAAATTAATCAAGTTAGGTTGCAATTGGATCATACACTAACTGTGTAAAGCTAATTGGGCTGCTCCATATATACAGTTTAGGCTAATTTCCCTTTATGGGACATTGGGACTACAATCTTGGAGCCATCCTAAATTTGGCTTGGGCCATCACCCATCCCAAATTTATTATGGAGGATAATACTTCCTTCAATTTTATTATTTATAACTTTGAAATATTTTATATTTTACAAATAATACTCCATGGCCAAAGTTGCAAATAATAAAAATCGGAGGTAGTATTATTTTTTTCCTTCTTTATGTGAATGATTTTACCTTATGTCCTTATCTTACAAAGCTACAAATATTTCCTCCATTTCTAAATACTAGGGCGTGTATCGCTCAAATTGTGCGCGTCATAGACTCATAGGTATTTATGTTCATGAGTTCTGTGGGTCTGGTTTTATGTCACAAATTTAGTTGTTAGTAATATTAATGAGAGAAAATATGTAAATAATTTTTTTTTTTTTGGAGTATAAATATTCGCACATGCACTATTTTTAAGAGTTTAAAAATGAGGCAATTAACATTAATGAGGACAAATTAGTAAATAAATATTTCGAGGATACAATTATCCAAACACTATTCATAAGAGTTATCTCAAAACTTTTTAAAAGAGAAGATTGGAAAGCGCATCAATTAACTTGAGAATTAATATATTTGCTAACATTAATACCACTAGCTAATAAATTTAAGGTTAATTTTTAAATTACCACCCAAAAATGTATCAATTTTCAAAATAACCACTCGTTAAATTTTTATTTTTATTTTACCACCCCTTAAATTGAAAAACTACTCAGATTACCACCCATTTTAAAATTCCGGTGGATTTCTCTTATGTGGGACCCACCTAATGACTCTTAGTGGTAACAGGAAGAAGATGATCAGTAGTAGTGGCAATTCAGATAACAAGCTCTTGGTTTTTTTACTTGTTTTCTTACATAGCCGTTATTAGCCATTGGGTAGGTCCACATGCAAGAAATCCACCAGAATTTTGCAACGGGTGGTAATCTGAGTAGTTTTTTAATTTAAGAGGTGGTAAAATAAAATAAAAAATTAAACGGGTGGTTATTTTAAAAATGGATACATTTTTGGGTGGTTATTTAAAAAATTTCCTAAATTTAATTGCATGCTTCCTCGTTTCATTTAATTACAATCAGTTGTCTTTTATGTTAGCCGAGGCATAATTTTAACCATTAATATTATTTATTATGATAAAGTAAAAAAATTTTATAGCCGATATGATAAAAAGTTATATTGAGATGAATATAAGATAATCCCCCTTGAATATATTTTGCCTTACATATCAGTTAATACAGATAGTCAAACAAAAATGTGTAAGTAGTGATAAATTGTTGCGAGTAAAACAGAACAGAAAATTAGTTTTGAAAGGAAAATTTTAATTGATGAAAGATATGGTGAGTTTGTGACCAATCCATATCCAACATAATATCACCTAATAATATTCAATTTTCATATGTTGGTGATAAAAATCAATGTATTTAGTTAGTACTATGTAAATAAGTTGTGTGCAATCAAATTGATGCATTTAGGGCCTGTTCTAATAGATTGAAATCAGCTGAACTGAACTAAACCGAGCTGAACTGAACTGAACTGAATATTTTATAAGAGAAGGAAATTAGGAGCTGAACTAAACTGAACTGAATTGAACTGAACTGAACTGAACTGAAAATAAACGTATGAGAACAGGCCAGTACGTAGGCCCTGTTTGGTAGTTAGCTTATTGGGGGTATATTAGCTTATTTGACTAACTTTAGCTGATTGACTAGTCAAACAAGCTAATACAAGTGTTTGGTACTAAGCTTATTGAAAGAGCTTATTCCACTAAATAAGTTCTTTTTAAAAAAGCTCATTTTAGGAGCTTTTTCAATTAGCTTATTCATTATTTATTGTGAAATGACACTTATAACCTCATTTAATTTAAAATTCTATCTAAACTACCTACCCCACAATTAGCTTATTGGTCATTTCACATACTCAATCACCTTTAAGCTATCAGCTATTTACCAAACACTTTTATATAATCAGTTAATACAATAAGTTAGTCAAATCAGTTAATAAAATCAGCTAGTCAAAATCATCTAACTCAATCAGCTTCAGCTTTCAGCTTTAAGCTTGCTCCCAAATAGGGCCGTAATATAAAATAGGAAGAGAAACGTAATTAGGGCTTGTTCTAATAGACTGAAATCAGCTGAACTGAACTGAACTGAATTGAACTGAACTGAACTGAACTGAAATGAATATTTTATAAGAGAAGGAAATTAGAAGCTGAACTGAATCGAGCTGAGCTGAACTGAACTGAACTGAAAATAAACGTATGAGAACAAGCCCTAAGATAAGCTATGGATTCCATGATTTTAGCTTAATAAGCTTACAAATAGTACTCCCTTCGTTTTTTTAAAAGCATCACTTGGTGATCGATGCGCAAAATTTTAGGACAGTAATATAATATTGTGAGTGGGCGAATCAATAATCATCAATAATTAGGGCTGCAAACGAATCGAATTGAGCCGAGTTTCGGTCTGTTCGAGCTAAGCTTGATAAGAATTATTCGTGTTCGAATTATCTCGAGCTTGAACGAGTTTTTAAAAATCTTTTTCAAGCTTGGCTCTAAGAATTTGGCTTGTTCGAGCTTTGTTTACGAACACACTCGTTTGCATTACAATTATAAATTCGAGTTTAAACAGGTTTAAATCGGGCTTAATTTTTTACACGAGCCCTAATTTATCATTAAAAATTATTTTTTCCTAACGCATCTATTTTATGGAAAAAGGTAATTACGAGTTTTTATGCCTATATATGATGAAATAATTAGTACTATTAACAAATATGTATGAGTAAAAGATATATAAATTGACCGATTTTATTTGGGTGTGAAAAAACTTATGAATGAACTTAAACAAGTTGTTTTCATGAACATTATTGATTCGAACATGATATTATTGTTCGAGCTTGTTTGTTAGCTTAACAGACGAGTTCTGACCGAGCTTAGCTTGTTCGCGAGTAGTTTATGAACATATCGACTCATTTACATCTCTATCAATAACAATCAACCAATATATATATATATATATATATATATACATATATATATATATATATACATATATATATATATATACATATATATATATATATATATATATATATATACTTAAAGACACATCAGTAATGACACGTGTAATATTATGGTGTGTCCTTAGTTTTTTTTTTTTTAATAAAATTCTATTAAAGAAACAAATCTTATAAAAAATAGTCCCCTAATCTTATACAATATAATTACTTAAAATAAAAAAAATATTTGACATATCTTTAACACATAATATTTGCATAGCTATAAAAAAAATATAACTTAATTTTGATCATATTCTACATCATTTATATCTAACATATTTTTCGTAATCCTTTATTTTGATCATAATTTATAAGCTTCATTTATATAATTATTTTTTGTTTATATAAATCTAATTATAATGATGGTTTAATAAAAATTATTGAAAATTACCGTGCATGACACGAGAACTAACCAAGTAATCTATTATAGTAAAAGTAAGAAGAGACAATAAAAGAAAAAGTATGTGTGAAAGACTAGATATTTTTATTATTTAAGTGTGGACCATAAAGGAGAGATTGAGAGAGAAATGATAAAGAATTTAAGTGTGGTTTAAAGTAAGAAAGAGAAATGATAAAATATAATATGAAGGTACCAAATATATAAGTGATGTATTTATAAAGGAAACATCTATAAAAAGTAAGTGATGTACTACAAAAAAATCTAGTCTGTCTTGTGTGTGACTGGCCATACCGTGTGACCACTTATAAAATATTAAAGTAACCCTTATAACAATGACTAAGTAACCCCTGTAACACTTAACGAGTAACTCCTATAAGTCTATAACATTGACAAAGTTTCTGCTTTAACACTGACCAAGTAACCTCTATTACACTAACGAAGTAATTTATATATTGTATAACAAATAATGCAATCCACCCCTATCATTCTATATATGATGCTATTACTCTATGATGCTATGTGCTATCATTGTCCTTTGAACGCATAAATAAAAGATGACAAGATCAACAAAATCTGTAACAACAAACAAACACTACTCAGAAACTTCACGTTCATTCACCTGTTCGCCATATAACTCCATCAAACAACCGTTGGCCTCTATTTTTTTGGCTCATCACTTTCGACGAAACTTCGCCTCCTAAACTCTTCTCCCATATACAACAACTATATAAACACCAAATAAGCAATGTACATCAAAACTATCTTACAAAACATGTGGCCAACATATATCGCTTCAATATATAATTCGCTCCGAGATCATACGAATATACGATACGCTAGTAATCTAGGATAATGATGTACCATCCGTTACAAAATCATGATCATCCTGCCAAGCCGCTTGTTCGCAGGCGGCTGACGAAGTTGCTGATAAGCGTAACGGTTCAGGGAAGAGTTGGGTCGGTTCAGATGATTATGTCGTCGGAGAATACCGTAGGACAATTGATAAAGGCGGTGTTAGAGGTGTATCAGAAGGAGAGGAGAAGGCCTTTGTTGAGTCAGAATAATAATCATCCTAGTTGCTTTGAGCTTCATTACTCCCCTTTCAGCCTTCAAAGTAAGTTTTTGTTTGTGCAATTATACTAATAATTTATATCTTATAGATGTCGTATGACTTGCTTATCGAAAACTTTATTTTTCCTATAAAAAAAAATGAAGTAAATCGAGTTATATTTCCCATTTTAGAGGAAGTTGCAATATATCTTCTTATTAAGTGGTAAAAACGTAAATAAATTAACAATTTTTTCTAGTCGATCAACATCAAATTTTTGTAAATAAATAAAAAATTATGAGATCCATATATGACAAGAAGCTATTGATTTATTTACATTTTGAATACTATTTAATAAACAATTTTTGTTTATCAAGGAGATAAACTTGCATTTTCTTCTCATTTTTTGTGTTAATTAAATGACCACGTACTCAAGTGAAAGTTTAGTGACCAATAAATTGCTTAATTATTCTTGCTTGAAATTTATTGTATACTATAATTCCTCAACAGTGCATATTAATTTTATCTAATTAATAAGGGACAAAGTTAAAAATTCTCAAAAAAAAAAGGGACAAAATTAAAAATTTGTAAAAGTTTTTCCGTCACAAATGTCAGCACTCTAATCTTAATTATCACGTGTGCTGTGTTCTTTTTTTAATAGTTTCAATGACTATCTAAAAATGTTTACAATCAATAAAGTGTTGGCTCATACGATCAGTTGGTAAGTTTCTTACTTCAAATTCTAAAAATTTAGGATTCGAATCCTACCAAGTAAGGGTGTTTGGGGTAGAGATTCTCTTATCCTCCCCTCTACTTCCGAGTGTTTGACCTATAAATACTGAACCAAAAAACCAATCCTCACCAATTCAAAATTGTGGTTTTGCAGGCTTGAAACAAGAGGAGGAACTGAAAAATTTGGGCTCAAGGAAATTCTTTTTGTGTCAGAAGCCTGTTAAAGAATGCTATGCAGGAACAACATGCATCAGCCAATCAGAAAAGATGGACTTATTTCCATTTCTATGGGCCAAGTTCATGGAGCTCTTGCTTTAAATATTGATAACGAAATCTCTGTACTGCAACCAATTGCCATAGCAAGCTTTTTAAATATTATTAGACGATACATTGATAATTGGAAAAATTGTCCGGAATAATCCCACCTTTGGACCGTCTGCTAAAAATAATCTCATCTTTGGATTATTTTTAAATAATCCGACCTTTATACTCAATCCTCTCAAATCAGTCCCAACCGGTCATTTAACTTGTTATACCAAGTTACGTGACACGTGGCGGCTTGTGATTGGTCAAATAAAAAAATTAAAAGTAAAAAAAACATTTAAAAAATAAAAAATAAAACAAGTCCTAGCCCGCAGCCCCTGCCGCCGCCGCTGGGAGGCCGCTGCGCCGGCAACCAGTCGTCTTCCGCCATCCCATTTCCGGCGATTCGGCCTCCTCCCCTTCCTCACCACGTTTCCCGGCATCCTCCCCTTCCCATGTCCCTTTTCCGGCGCCCTCCCCTTCCCTTCAACCCGATTTCGACCCAATCCCCTATCCCGTCGATTTCAACCCAATCCCCTCCCCTGTTGCATTTCCCGACCTCCTACCCTTACCCTCACCCTGATTTCGACCCCCTCCCTTCCTTCGTCCCATTCCGGCCCCCCTTCCTTTCCAAAGCATCAAATTCGGCATCACCATTGTTACGGGAATTGTTTCGGCTTCACCATCAGTTTAAAGACGATGGCCGAGGGTAGGTAGAAGAGCGGAAACCGGCCCGGATTTGGGAGTGGCGAAGGGTTTGGTCTGGGCTGATGGTGGCGGCGTAGAGGTGGCTGGGGATGGTGGTGGTTGTTAAAATTTTTAATCATTTATTAAAAGAATTAATTAATGTTAATTACTCCAATAATCATCTTTAAAAAAATTAAAATTAAAAGTTATGTTTTGACCAATCACGCAGTGACACATGTAAATTAAACTTAATTAAAAAAAAACTTACTCAACCGGTTGCAAGCCACTTGGGACCAATTTAAGCGGACTGAGGGTAAAGGTGGGATTATTTAAAAATAATCCAAAGGTGGGATTATTTATAGTGGACGGCGCAAAGGTGAGATTATTCCGGGCAATTTTTCCTTGATAATTTGATATAGGACATTTTGTAGCTTTTAATAATACATTATTATGTAAAATTTATATAGGAATCATAATTCACATTTCACAATAATAACATTGTACCAAACTATCAATAAATATGTATTTATTAGAAGAGTTTAATATATATATATATATATATATATATATATATATATATATATATATATATATATATATATATATATATATATATATATATATATATATATATATATATATATATATAGAATAGCAACTAGCAAGTGATCAACTTTTCCCTATTTTAAGGAAAAGGAAATTGGAGGTTTAAACTCTGTTTTCTTTCATTATTTAGGCAATTTAGCAATCAATATCATAAACAAAGTACAATACTCCCCGTCCTTTTATTAGAGTCTCATTTCTAATATGGGTAATGATATATAAAGCTCTTAAAGCTATGTATAAGCATTAAATATACTTTTTAAAATGGAATTAAGTTGGGAATTCATGACAAAATCATGCGCAAATTGGTGTGATTAATTTAAATTTAACCTTAATATTTCCTTTTTTAGCTCCTTTACATAGCCCTAAGGGTTATGTTTATCGATCATTTTATTTCTAATATTTATTACTCACATAATAAAGAGAAATGAAACTCTAATAAAAGGACGAAAGGAGTATATTGTTATTTTAAAGTGGTATTAATAAGCATTAATCATATACTCATTCTATAAGAAGTTGAGGTGATGGAGTAGTGACATCGCTCTTACCTCAGCTCGTATTCCTGAGATCTAGGGATCAAACGAGTGATTTCCCTTATCTCCCTCCTCGATCAAATGAGTCCCCTTCTTCTTACCATTAAAAAATCATATACTTATGCTATAAATATCGTGGAATAAATACGTTGGACTTATATAGCATGAAAACGTATACGAGTACATATTAAATATGGACACGAAGAAACGGTTGTAAATTTGAAATTCATGGAATCATGGGATATAGTGCGGAAAACCATCTTCGACAATATTAAATTGTAGTTTAATTTGTTATTTTAAGCATCTTGTTAAGTAAAAACCACCTAAGGGTATGATCTCTTTTCATATATAATCACTTATCTAACTTTTTCAAACTTATTTAAACTAATGAAAACTTGCATAAACTTATCATAATTTATCTTAGTTGTAAGTTAAGCTTAGATAGCCCTTATTGAATCTCATAATAAATGTTTATTTTTCTTAAAATATTAAGTACAAATAATGTAAACAAAACATGCATATATGATTCAAACAAACTTCATTGTGTCTCCACTCTTGAAATTCCACCCTATCTCACCTTTTTCATCAACAACAAGCTCCATCTTGCTCACCTGGGAGGCACAACCCACCATTTCTTCCAAACTCTACTTCAACGGCTCAATTCAACATAATTAATCAACAATGAGAATTATCATTCTAAAGATCATTAGCAACATACTAATTGGCTAATTGCGCACACTTTCAACCTCGAGAAGGCTACAGTTTCTTTTTTTAGCCGAAGCATTTGCTTTTCACAAGGTCATATTTCTTGTGGTAAAACAAGACATCACATACATTGAAGGCGTCTTTCCAAAAAAAAAAAACAAACATTGAAGGCAACAACCTCAATGTTATACCCAAGCTAAGCTTGATCCAGGGAAAATGAGAGCACCTTCCAATCATGAGGTTGGAGGTTCAATCCTCATTAGAGACAATTGGGGGGGGGGGGGGCGAGAGTCCCTTACACCTTTCCTCCACTCTCCCAAAATATCTAGCCCGCTAAGTCGAGTTTGGTTGAGCTGTTAGGGGTTCCAGCACTAACCCTTTTAGGCCTTCATCTAACCTTTTAAAAAAAAAACAACCTCATTGTTATGCTTGGCTAAAAGTTTTTGGGTAGCCTTATCACACTATAGTTATGTTATTGCAACATTCGTCTTCTTCTCAACAATTATAAATAATGGAGTATTCAACACATCTATTACGAGGCAAATTGGATAGTGACTTATTTGTTAATCTCGATTAAGAAGGAGCTTTAGTTTATCTTCTTGATAAACAAAATATGTTTATCAATTGGAAAAATTGAAATAAATCTATAATTTTACCTAGTCAGCATGACATATTTATTTACAATTTTGACATTTGATAAACATCTACTACAATTTTTTTTTTTTTTTTTTTTTTTTATCAAAAAGATAAATTTGTATCTTCTCATTGATTAATTAGCGATAACATCCATGGATCAGGTACATTGTAGCTTGTACCAACTCCACTACAATCCTTATTCTCGTTTTTAACACAGTAGTAGTTCCCATAACTCGATAAGAAGCACTTCCATAGTTGCATAGAAGTAGTATCCTAATGAGCATGGCACAAATGTTTAATTAAAGCCGGTGTACAATATTTTATTGAATGGCGGAAGTTGTGGAAACCAACAACTGCCAATTATATTGTCTCGCACGTGCAATCTCATGATTGCGAAAATAAAACTGCCAACAAATTACACTTTCTCTCTCTTCCTCATTCATTCACTCACCAACTTCTTTCTCTCTCCTTGTTTTTACTCTGAATTGGCGATTTCTCTCTCTAAAACTTCCGATTTCGAGCGTTTTCTCTCTCCTCCATTGTTGATTTTCGAGCTTTTTCTTTCTTCTCTTTCACTGGTGAAGTTGTTATTTGCTTAATTCAGGTTCGTTTACTTATTTTTTTGAGATTTTTGTTAGTTTAAGTTGTTTTGATTCTTCGATTTTTAGGTTTTTTTTTTATTTTGATTTTGTTTTCGATTTTCGTAGTGTTTGATTCTGCAATGGTGAAGAAGAAGATTACAAAGAAGGCTGTAGATGCTGAAGAAGGTGTGTTTATTTAAATTTTCCAACATTTTTTCAAATTTTCAATTGAATTTTCGCTTATATATGTCGAATTAGTAGTGCATGTTATTTTTTTATAGTTTTCTGTTGTTTTTTTATGCATATTATGATAATTGAATTTTAATTTTAAAGTTATTATGTTTAATTTTGCTTTATTTTATTGTTCATTGTGATAATTGGTTCAAAATTTGTTATACATGTGTTGTGGTGTTGTTATATGTGAAACAAATTTTGCATGTTTGTTTTCAGAAGTTTTATTCATTGCTTATTATTCTTCAAATTTTGTATGTTAGGTTTTAGTTAGATTATGAGAATAGTATGCATATCTGCATTGTGTTTGTGTATATGTGTTTGAGTAACAGTAATATGTGCATTGTGCATTGTGCATTGTGTCTGAGTAATAGTTATATATGTTATTTATATGCATGACAAAGGTTACTTTATGCTGTTAAAAGGGTGACTTTATGCTGTGAAAAGGATCACTTTATGTTGTTAAAAGGGTCACATTTTCATTTAAAAGGGTTACTTGTTGTAGTTTAAAGGGTGACTTTATGCAGTTAAAAGGGTCACTTTATATATTTAAAAGGGTCACTTTATGCTTGTTAAAGGGTTACTTTTTCAGTTAAAAGGGTTACTTGTTGTATTTTTAAGGGTGACTTTATGCAGTTAAAAGGGTCACTTTATTCATTTAAAAGGGTCACTTTTTGCATTTAAAAGGATTTTATGCATATATTCTGAATTTTCCCATGAGTAATTTGTGAATTTGTAATTTATGGTTATTCTCTGTATTAATTAGATATAGGTGGTTCAATAGGTGAATATCGTTATAAATCGCCTTCAAGGGGAAAAGCAATGGGTAAAGAGCCTGCTAAGGGCAAAACAGTACCTAAAAAGAGCAGGACAGTTCTTGAGAAGGACAAACCAGAGTCTAAAACTGTGAAGGCTAAAACTGTTCCTAAGAAGGCCAAAGCAGAGTCTCAGAAGATTAAAGCAGCTCCTAAGAAGTCTAAAATTGTATCTAAGAAGGCCAAAACAGTAGCTGATTCTAAATTGCAAGTGGTTTCTAATTCTGATTCTGATACTGTTGTGTAAGTATACATGTTTTTTGTTTTGCATTTTTTAATTATATATATCATGATTCTAATTCTGATATTGTTTAACTTATTTTTTTTATTATTATTATTTAGGGAAAAAAGACCCTTGATTGCAAGGTGCAGACCACACACATTGGAATTTATGTTGAGTACTTTTAGTCCTGATAAAAAAAAAGCTGTTGAAGAAATAGGTTTTGGTGGTTTATTACATCTGAAATTGAAAACTTTGAATCGTCAAATGCTACATTGGCTTGTTGAACACTTTAATGGTGGTAGCTGCATGTTTACTATTGCTGCTGGTAAAGAGTTTGTAGTTACTAAAAATGATATATGCGATGTCTTTGGCTTGCCTATGAGTGAGATTGTTGTTCTTGAACTTCAGAAGAATCCTGAAGAAGGTAGTGTAGATAAACGTATCATTCAGTCATGGAGACTTGATTATGGTCTTACTGAGAAGCAACCTCTGCATTTGTCAAAAGAGGAGTCAAGGATGGTTGATTTGGATGATGGTGGGGAAGAATTTAAGAGATGTTTTGTGCTTCATGCTATGTCTAGCTTCTTAGCTCCTACTACTAATAGGACTGTTTCATTGAAATTGCTGAAGCTGTTGAAGAAGTTGATGAAATCAAAACATTTGATTGGTGTTCATATGTTTTGAAAAAGTTAAAGAAGACTGTTGTGAAGTATAAGAATGATGAAAATGCTCAAAATGTAAGTGGTTGTTTACTAGCTTTGCAAATTATGTATTTTCATCGATTAAATTTTCAAGGAGAAAAGGAAAGTAGTACCGAAAAGGAAAGTAGTACCCTTCCTTTGATTCAACATTGGACTGATGCGAAGATTAAGAAGCGGATCAATTTGGAGATCAAAGCTGGTGATTTTGGGCAGGGACTATTGGATACCCTTACATATCCTATTTCACAGCCTCAAATTAGGGATCCTGTTGTTAAGCAAACTTGTGGTCAGGGGGCTTCTACAAGTGGTAGAAGTAGCCGCATTCTTGCATTTGAGCTTCCGGAAAATGTGATGACTGATGATGAAATTAAAGAAATTTCAACTGATGTAAGTGTTCTTTTTTTTTTTTTAATATTTAGTTATTATCTCTTTATATGCACTAAAGTTACCCTTTATGTGCACTAAAGTTACCCTAAATATTCAGTTAGACACTGATGTAAGTGTTCTTTTTTTTATATATATATATATTTAGTTATTATCTCTTTATGTGCACTAAAGTTACCCTTTATGTGCACTAAAGTTACCCTAAATATTCAGTTAGAAGGGTTACTTTATGCATTTAAAAGGGTAACTTTATGCATAATAAAGGGTAACCTTATGCATTTAAAAGGGTAACTTTATGCATATATCATGAATTTTCATTTGTTTTTTATTTTTATTTGTTACATTTGTATAGTTTCTTATTAGTTCATATGTTTGCAGGTTGTTCATGAAACATTTCTTTTGGTTAAAAGAAATATGGATGTATTATTGTTGGTTCAGTCACAGGGTTTTCAAGCCTTGAGTGATATGATTTCTTCTCGCAGAACTGTTTCATTATCCTCTGATGATGCTGTTGCAATTTCTCAAACTCAACAACTACTCTCTGATCCTCATTACCTGAAGCTTTTAGATGGTTTAATTGAGGAGTGTAATAAGATGAAGTTTGTTCATGAATTGCTTCGTGATTTTTATGAACCTGAAGGTCATAACAATGATGTTCCTGGAGATGAAAATGCACAAAATTTGAATTTGAATAGGTCTGAGGATGATGTCAATGGTAATGGAAAAGGTGTTGTGATGAATAGGTCTGAGGATGATGTCAATGGTAATGCTGGGCCTTCTGTAGAAAATGCTTCTAGAAGTATCATCAGAGGCAATAAATCTTTGTGCTCACTCGACTGTGGGCCAATAACGGTGTGGATGTGCCTTTTCTTACACTGTTTTTGAAGGCTAATGCTCGGATATTCAAGAATTTGCCTAAGTTACATTTGGAAATTCTTGATTATTGTTTAGTGAAGGATGATTCAATGATGAGGAAGTTAAGTGTCATTTTTTATGATAATTATATTTTTATATGTTTTTTTCCTTTATTTTTTTTAATGCTTATCTTATTTTTTATTGTTGCAGTGAGAACCTTGTTACTTTTGGGATGAATTTTTTAATTCCAAGAGAAGACATGGTGGCCCTGGTAGCTCCACTTAGAATTCGATGGTGCATCATTGATTGCTACTGTCTGTATTTGAATGAGAAGGCATGTTTTGATTCTGGTCCTCGAAAATTCTTCTTTGGTGTGAGGCAAAGTGTAAGTAATTTGATTTTTTTTTATATTTAACCACATTTACTTTATATAAATATATAAACAAGTTCTCATACTTTTAATAGTTTGCATTCTTGCATATTTGTGAAAACATTGGCAAAGGTGATATTTCACAAGCTGTTAATGATTTGCACGATTTATGGGAAGGTTGGGTGAGCTATGAGAATCCTGAATGTGATATTATGGATGCTGAACTGGTATATTTCATGCTAAATTACTATTAAAACTTTAAAAAAGTTCTGTTTTTGTGTTACTCTGTCTAAATCAGTGTTTTAATTTTTCTGTTTCAGATCTATTTTCCTGTTCTTGTTGAGAATCACTACATTTTGTTTGTTATTGATCATACAAAAGAGGTGGTATATTATCTTGACAATATTATCTGGCGTGATGATGCTCTTGAATATACCAAAGAATTGTCTTCACACTTGGTATGTTTATGTTGATTCATTGTTATGTGTCTGTTTACTTATTGTTTCCATTTAATTTTTTTTTTGTTTTTATTTTATTCTAAACTTTTATATTTTATGTCAGTGTGATCAAATGGGTGTTTTTCTCGGAAAAAGAAATCATCCAAAGAGTTCTCAGCTACCTTCTTATGGGTTTCAAATTGTTGAGTTGGAATGGAGAAAAGAAAAAGTTGACAATTTGGACTGTGGGGTGTTTGTCATGTATCACATGCTCCATTTTGTTGGCGAATCGTTCAAATTAAATGAACTGAAAACAGTAATTATTCATCTATTTTGTCTGTAGTTTTTCCCTTTCTAATGCTTTTATTAATTACATATTGATAAGTTTTTTTTTTTTTTTTTTTTTTTTCTGTTGTGAGATTATTGGGAGAAAATTTCTGCGAGGTGAGATCTGTACCACACTGGTGCTGTGTGATTTGAATGAATCTAGGAATGATGTGTTGTCAGAATTAGAGAAGTTCAATGAGAAGAAGAAAGATCCTGCTTATTGCCAGGGAATTGAAATGAGAAGAAAGGATGCAATTGATGGAAAGAAGAAGAAAGAAAATGAAGAAAGAAAAATGGCAGCTGAAGCAGAAGCAAAGGCAGAGGCAGAAGAAGAGAATCCCAAAGGAAAAAGGGAAAAAAAGAAGACAGACAAGTACACTCCTTCTAAAGGGTGAAATGACTGTTAGTTATTAGTTGATTAGGTCTAGGAGTATTTTTTGAACAATGAAAAAACTTAATGTATGTGCATATACATCAAGTTAAATGATGTAATTAAACTTAGTGGATAGTTTTTGGTTCTTTTGGAATACTGATGTATGTGCATACATTAATTAATTTGAAAGGTTCTTATGTATGTTTTTTATGGGATCACTTTTGTGCATAAAAAGGGTTACTTTGTAGCATAAAAAGGGTTACTTTTGTGGGTAGAAATAATAAGTTTATACATGATAAGGTATACTTTTGTGGGTAGATAGGGTAACTTTTACGCATGAAAAGGGTAACTTTTATTGATAAAAGGGGTAACTTTTATTAACAGAAAGGGTAACTATTACCAAAGAAAAGGTTGATTTAGTGGATAGAAAGGATAACTTTTATGCATGAAAAGGGTCACTTTTATGCATGAAAAAGGTTAATTTATAGCATAAAAAGGGTTACTTTTGTGGGTAGAAATAATAAGTTTATACATGATAAGGTATACTTTTGTGGGTAGATAGTGTAACTTTTATGCATGAAAAGGGTTACTTTTATTGATAAAAAGGGTAACTTTTATTAACAGAAAGGGTAACTATTACCAAAGAAAAGGTTGATTTAGTGGATAGAAAGGATAACTTTTATGCATGAAAAAGGTCACTTTTATGCATGAAAAGGGTTACTTTTATACGTTAAAAGGGTAACATAAGTTGATGTGTTCCAATAATTAAACATGTGCTAATAAAAGTGTCAATCACATTTTCATTAAACTAGTCATAGAGTAAAAAAACAAAAGAAAAATAGTTTAACAATACAAGGTATATTAATTTCGAAAAAAAAAATGTTCTAAAAAAGATCTTAAAAGAGTCGTAAGTTAGGTGTCTTTGATCCAAATTCTGAATTTGGAGGTGGCAGTGCTGGTTTTCTTTTTCTCTTGCTTTTTTCAAGTCCTCCTTTTGCTCTCTTGCTTCTTCCTTTTGTTACAACCCTTTTAGGATCAAGTATTATTGGTACACTTGTGCTTGTACTCGATGCTGAAGAAACGTCAGTATTGCTTTGAGTGCTGTCTGCCACATCAGGAATGTTAGAAGCAGCTTCTGCACTTTCTTTCTGAGCAGCACTAGCAAGTAAGTCTTCCACCATTTTAAGACTGTTTCTGAAGCTTTCTTCCATAAATGCTCTTGTCTCTTCATTTTCTTGACTTTTTAAGATTAGATTGTAGTATTTCCTCATCATTGTTTGCCTCCATGGAATATATTGCTGTTTAGGATCCTGATTCTTCAACCTATCCCATGCCTCTGTTTTTGCAAACTTAGTCCATCTTTTTGAAACATACTTGTCTGGTATTCTTGTTACTGAATGCAAATGTAGAATTCTGATGCAATGATAACATAACCATCCAGATGCTTCAAAATTTTTGCAAGTACACCATACAGTTTGGCTCTCATGTATATAGTTTACTTGATGTGCAGACCATGGCTTGTCTTCTAGTGTTACTTGATAAAGTAGGCATTCTTCATTACTGCCTAACATCTGAACAATTGTTGCCATAGAGTATCCAAACTCCTCTTCAAAATCTCTAAAGAGTGATAAAGTGAAAACCTGTACATCAACATCATGTAGCTTCATTTAAATTGCCATATATTAAATTGCCATATATTAGGTGTAATTTATGTACTTGTCAGTTAAATTTTTACCTGTGCAGCATGCTTTAGCATTCCAGATAGAGGCAATGAAGTGAATGCTATTGACTTGCTACAGGTAAACTCATCATATTTCTCTGTGCTTCTCCAACGATTAGTTGTCTTCTTAAATATGGTATAAAATTCTGTCAAAGTAGTTGCTTTACTTGCTCTGAATCCTATAGCATGATTAGTGCTTTCACTCCTTTGTGACGATAAGATCCCTGCTGAAAAGAAATCACTACTAAGGGCAGGACACCATTTGTCTTTCAACTCATACACTCTTTTGTACCAAGAGCGTTCTGTCAACTCATATTTCTGCAACATTGCCTGCCACTTTGCTTCGAATTCTTGTTCTGTCACACACATTTTTAAGCACTGGTTGAATGCAAATTTGAATTCTTTGTCTTTTTTAAGAGCTCCAAATCTGGTTATGGTATTTTGCTCCAAATGCCATATACAAAGTCTATGCCTTGTATTAAGAATCACCTGCATTGAAAATAAAGGGGTCACTTTATGCTGTTAAAAGGGTTACTTTATGCACTAAATAGGGTAACGTTATGCAGCTAAAAGGGTAACTTTATGTGAAAAAGGAAAACTTTATTGTCAGAGCTCAAATATGTAAGATGTCAATATAAATCTTTTACCTCCAGAATTGCATTTGCCATTGCTTGGTCCTGGTCAGTGAATATTGAAGTTGGTTTTCTATCCTCCATAGCTTTGAAGAAGGTTTGTAGTAACCACACAAATGAATCTGTCGTTTCATCCCCAATAAAAGCACAAGCAAACATACAATTATACCAGTGGTTATTTATGCCAACAAATGGAGCACATATAAGATTATATCTGTTGGTTCTGTATGTTGTATCAAAGACAAGAACATCTCCATATATCCTATAGTCTTCTAGCATCATTGCATCTCTCCAAAAGATATTGCAAATTCTTCCTTCTTTGTCAAACTTCACTCTAAAAAAGAAGTTTGGATCCTCTGATTGTTCCTGACTTAAAATGTTCACTAAAGTTTGAGCATCTCCAGCCTCAATTTGTTCCATTCTTAACCTTGAGCAGAAATTCAGGTGATCTACAACACTATGGCCTACATTCTGTTCTCCTCCAGCCTCTGTAGCCATGTAATTGTAAGTGTCCATTGTAGTTAGACCTGAAGATTTCATTGTTTTGATTGCTTCAGCTTTTTCCTCTGTCATTTTTCTTTCAGAACGATGCAAATAATGCCACTGTGGCTTTGTTAGCTCGTGGTTATGCTGAATAACATGAGCCACCACCTCAAACTGTCCTTCTTTATTCACTTTTGCTCTTATGCATGCCTTGCAATTCGATCTTGTAATGGATACTTGTCTTGGCTTTCTTGTTTTTACATTTACATCCTCTTCATCAACCATTTCAACTAACTTTGTTTTCTTCTGACCTGAATGTCTCTTTCCCTCAGTAGAACACACATAGTTTTTCTCAGTTACTATTTTTGTGTGTTGTTTGAATCTAGTTGTATGTTTTCTTATTGAAAACCCCAGTATAGCAGCATGTTTTTCATACAATTCCAAAATTTCTTCAAAAGTTTCTCTTACCACACTAACAAATGATCCTCTAAGATCTAAACCAGAAGCATCAATTGGATTTGTATCTGTTATTTAATACAAACAAATCAGATAATAACCACAGGCAGCATAAAAAAAGGGTAACATTCGTTTGAAAATAGGGTAACTTTTATGCATGAAAAAGGTAACATTTAGGCATTCAAAGGGTTACTTTTTGCATACAATCTGAATTTTCAGCATACAATCTGAGTGTAACATTTGTGCATAAATAGGGTCACTTTTAAGCATGAAAAGGGTAACATTTAGGCATTCAAAGGGTTAATTTTTGCATGTAATCTAAAAAGTTCTGCATTCAATCTGAGGGTAACATTTAGGCATAAGTACGGTCACGTTTATGCATGAAAAGGGTAACAATTATGTATTCAAAGGGTTACTTTTTGCATACAATCTCAAAAATTTATAGAAATTACCTTCAGTTGCATTTGATTTGGTTGTTTGTTCTGAATTTGAATCAATTGATTTATCAGGAACCACTTGATTTACTGCATTGTGAATTGCGTCTTCTGCATTCTCAATTGCTTCATCTGCATTATCAATTGCTTCATCTGCATTGTCTGGATTGTTGAATATTGGTACGAATTCATCTCCAAAACAATTAGTTTCTTCTTCTTCTATAATCGATCGATTTAAATCGATTTCAAATTCAGTCTCAATTTGCCTCTATTTTTGTAGCAATTCGTGAATGAGATTGCTGCAATTTGTTGTATCGAAAGTCGAATTCTCCATTGATGATCGAATTCTGCAATTTGTAAGTTTTCTCACTTTCTTTGTCCTTAATTGATGATCGAATTCTTCTATTTGTGCGTTTTCTCACCTTTTTCTCCTCAATTGATGATCGATTTCTGCAATTTTTGTGTTTTCTAACCTTTTTTCTCCTCGATTGATGATCGTTTTCTGCAATTTTTGCGATTTCTCACTTTCTCTCTCCTCAATGGATGATCGATAGCTGCGTTTTCTCACTTTCTCTCTCCTCCATTGTTGTTCTGCGTTTTTTTTGATTTTTAGGTATGAAATTCCGCGATTTAAAAAAAAAAAACAGTAAATGGGTTGCACGTGCGAAAAACCCGATGTACAGTAAAAATACTGTACACCGGGTACATGCAAATGGGATTGATGAGCATGGTGGCTTGTAAAAGAGTTGTGAACTTATTCCACTTCAACACCTCCATTAGATTCGTTAAACTTAGCCTAACTCCACTTAATAAAAATGGAAACCAACTACTTACAAAGTTGTAAAATACCCCATTAATAGTATTAAACTCCTCTCCTTACTAAAAACAGAACAAATTACCTGTCTTTCATCTTTTCTTCACACGATTCTTTCCCACGACTTCACGGCAAAACACCCCACCTTCAAGGTCGTCGTCCCAATTTCTTCCTCTCTCTTTCTCTCTCCTCTCATCGGAAAACACCGTCGTCGTCTTCGTCGTCGTTAACTAATAGAGTGACAGAGGAGAGAGAAAGTTACAGAGTATTCCATTGAAGAAATAAGATCATGCTCGCTCTTTTCGCATGGCTGCTTTCCTTCTTTGTCGTCATCGCCCTTCTTGTCGTCGTTGTTTACCAGGTTCCCTTTTTTCTCTCTCCTCTTTTTTATTTTGGGAATTGCGTTTCTATTTTGTTTCGATTTTTTGATTATTTCAATTGAATTTCCTTTATTTGATCCTTTGATTATTAATGAGAATATTTTTGGGAATATAAGGTTTAGATTTTGAGAATTTTAATTTGTATATTGGTTGAATTTGCGTTATCTGATTTTGATTCTTTACCCTGTCTAGAAAACTAAAAATTAATAAAAATGGTTCATTTTAAGTATTTTGAGGTTAGAATTAGAATTGTAAGTTGGGAAGCGTTATATTTAGGATTTAGGTAAGTGTGAGAATGCATACATTTTTATGGGCTTTAATTGAATTAAAACACTGTAGAAAAGCTATGGATTTTGGCTGTGTAATTGGGTTAGATTGCTGATTTGGAGAAAGAAAGGTGATATGGAGTAACTTTTTCGGAAGGCAACCAAAATTGGAATTGGTTGGTAGTATATTGGAAGATTGATGAATCGTGTATTCATGCTATAATTGGGAATTTGGGATAATGTTTTGTTGAGATATTGGAGTACTATGGAAGTCTTGGCAATTAGAGAGGGAGTTCAGTTGTGTGGCAGTGCTAGTTTCTTCTGTATATTTGGATGTATCCTCATCGGAAATGCTTTATGTTGAGACTATGGTTGGATTGAGTTATATTGGGTGGAATATCTTTGTTTAAAGGAGCGGATAATTTGGGGGCTTTGCCATTTTGTTTTCCTTAGCTTAAGGCTTGTCCATTTAGGGTTTGTGATGTGGAATTCGGACTATTCTTGCGTATAATTGGAGAAAAGGATTTGTTTGGATTGAATTGATTGATTTGTATACTTCTGACCGCAGTTACATACTGTGTGATTTAAGAAGTATAGAGATAGGTATATTGCTAGGTAGATTCTGAATTGGTTCTGTATGTAGATGGGTTTTTGAGATACTTGTTAGTAAAATCATTAAAATATTATGATTTCGACGGGGAATACTATTGGCTGTTGTATACTTGTACGGGAGAGGAAATGGATTTGATGGAAGAAATGCATGCCTTTTACTCTCTGTTTCATTTGGATGTTTGGAATATAAGGGTCAAATCCATATCTCCTTGGTCTGCCGCACTTGTCATTCATCAACATGCCATTGTTTTACATTCTATATGCAAACAATCTCTCACAACTTCTTATTGATCTTAGCGTCACTTGCATCCATGTAAGTGACAAGTTACACTTGGCTTTAAACCTCAATTTTGTTTTTACAGTCAACTTATTCTTGCTTGAGGTAGATCATCTGCTGAATTTCTCACCGTTCATGAGTTGTTGATCCATTTCATACTTGTTGAATTTATCCCATTCAAAGGAAAAGTTACTATCTTGCTAAATAAGTTTTCTCTAATCTTTAAAAGGAATCAACTAACTACTTTACATCCGAGTGTTCTATTAGTTTTAAACTTTTAATCTTATACTTCAAAGATTTACGAGATTTGCTAAATGACAACTTGTTCTTACAAAGACATCTCTCTCTCTTGAGAATCAAGCTCTTGAAGAATAAAGATTGAATTGAGTTATGAAGGTAGAAGATTTTGGTCATGTCATTACCTCATCTATATTCTTGTAGTGGACTTTTTTGCTACTTTTTTAACATAATTATTGCAGTCAATTTGAGAATTGATTTTTCCCCATCCCTTTGGGGCGAGGGTAGGTGGGGGGAGGGAGGTACTTTTGTCTTGCACCTAGAAACAACATTGTATTTATGAGGCACAAATATATACAACTCATAGTGTGAAAACTGAAAAGTTTGCTGGAGGGAGGACTTTTGTTGTGATGAAGGAAGCTTCTGAAAGAATCAGTGGTAAACCTCATAGGGCTAATTTATCTTGTATGGTGGGAGATTTTACATCTGCTTTGTTTGAGTATAACTATCCTTATGGTTTCAAGAAGGGTAAACGTATTGAAGCTGATATACAAACCTTACTTTGAGGAAACTTGCAATTGAATATGAGAGAGAGTTGCCATCTCCATGTGTTCCAAAGGAAGTCATACCCTATCTTGAAATAAACTTTGGTGAAGTGTTTGTTCTGGAAAGATATATGTGGTCTTTGGAACAGTGTTTGAAGGCGCCTTGGCGCAAGGCTTTAGGGGTCATGCACCTTTTGTAGTCTAGGCGAGGCGATTTTGATGAGGCGCAACTATAAGGCGCACTGGGGGTTGTTTAAGGCGCACGCAGATTTTATGTTATTTTATTATTATTTTTTTTCTGTTTACTATGTGCGTTACTTCAATAAGGCGCACCAAGGCACATAGAGGCGCGCCTTAGGCACAGGGAACTCTAAAATGCCTTGGTTTGCCTTGAGCCTTTATACATCGCTTTGGAAATCGGAAGCAATCTCACTCTTTTGTGTCTCCTACATATTCTAGAAACATGCAACGAATGCCGTGGATAGCGAGCACAACAAGGATTGGATCACCTATGAGCGCAGAAGGAAGAAAGGGCAGCAGCTGCAAGGTGTCCTCTTTCTTTTTTGGCTGATTGTGTACATATAAGTAAAAGGGGAGTGGGAGTGTGCTAGGTAGCTGGTGATTGGTAAACTTAGAGTGTAGAGCATTGTGCCCTAAAGGTGCTAGTAGAGAGTCGTGGCCTCAAGCCACCTTGTTTGCAAGATTCAATCTTTATTCAATGAAATAGCTGCCTTCTTCCCTAAAAATATTATCCTTATTGCTTTCAAGTTCCATTAATACAACAAAGTATAAGTAGAGCGTTACAAGTGGTATCAGAGCAGGCGGTCCTGCGGCAGCGACAACCACCGCCTTCCGGGTTCAGCCTATTAAAAAATATATATATATATATATTTAAATTAAAAATGGTGACTTCTGCAACTCAGAGATGCGAAGCTCTGGAAGACCAAATGGCGGGGGTTCGAACCCAACTGGAGACCGTGGAGACGACAATGAAGACTCAGGAGGAGGTTCTCAAGAAGTCGATGGAGGAGGCTGTTCAGCGACTCGATAATCGATTCGAGTTGTTCCGGCAACAGCAAGAAGCTCAGATGACGGTGAATACCACCACTCAAGCTCAGTTCTTCGAGGAGCTGCGAACCCTGGTGAATCAAAGAAATCATGAACAAGGGCAGGGTGGCAACTTCATGATGCGCAACTGGAATGAGACGCACGGCGACGGCGACAACCGGTGGAAGCCAAGAAAGCTAGACATGCCGCTCTTTGAAGGTGTAGACCCCGACGGATGGATACTTAAGGGGGAGAAGTACTTCCAACACTACAACCTCACGGAGGAACAGAAGTTGCAAGCCGCCGTCTCCGCTTTAGAGGGTGATGCTCTGAGGTGGTTTCAATGGGAAAACCGAAGGCGACCTATTCCGAACTGGGATAGCTTGAAAGCGAGGGTCTTGCGACAATTCTGACCGACTCATGCCGGAAGTCTCTATGAGCAGTGGTTGGCTGCAAGCCAAGAAACCACCGTGTTAGAGTATCGTAAGCGATTTATTGAACTCTCAGCGCCGTTGGAAGATATACTCGAGACTATTATGTTGGGCCATTTTATAAATGGGCTCAAGGATGAAATTAAGGCTGATGTTAGGCTAATGAATCCCTTCAACCTAGAACAGGCCATGGAAATTGCGGGTAGGGTTGAAGAGAGGAATCGGGTAGGCGGGCATAAGAAGGCACCCAACTATTTCGGGTCGGGTAAACCAATTGCAAGTGGATCTGAGGTGCCTGGATCTAAATCCGCAACTGGATCGGGCCTCATTAGTGCATACGGAACTCCAACACAGCAGGCCTCTTCATTCAAAGGGTGGCCCAGAGCCCCATTTGAATCCCAAGCCTCGGTAAACTTTCCGAAGACCACCAGCACCGTCTCAGCCACATCTAACGAGCCGAGGCGGCTGACTGACGCTGAGCACCAAGAAAGAAAGACGAAAGGGCTGTGCTTTCGCTGTGATGAGCGCTGGAGTGTCGGCCATAGGTGTAAGAATAGAGAGATGAGTGTCTTGTTGCTCGGCGGTGGAGGCGATTAAGGCGCTGGACCTTCAAAAACGCCGGAAGCCGACTCCAGCGAAGACGAGATAGCACCAGGGGCGTCTCTTTGCTCCGTGGTGGGGCTTTCTACGCCGCGGACCATGAAACTCGAAGGAAGGGTGGGACCAACCCCGGTGGTAATATTGGTCGACCCGGGGGCAACCCATAATTTTATCTCCGATGACTTGGTGGTAGAAGCAGGGGTGCCGGTGGAGGGCGACCGTGAGTTCAGCGTTTCTCTGGGAAACGGCGACATCATTGTGGGAAGGGGCAGGTGTAAAGGGGTGAGGGTCGTTCTTAAGGAGGGGTTTGTGATAGTGGATAACTTCCTCCCACTCCGACTCGGCAACGCCGACTTGATCTTAGGGATCGAGTGGCTGGAGAAACTAGGACCCGTGGTTCACAATTGGAAGACACACCTCATGAGCTTTCGAGTGGGTGACGTGAAGGTCACATTGAGGGGCAATCCTGCTTTGGAGCGCTCCAAGATCACTCTCAAGGCAATGCTCCGCACATTGCGCCACGAAGGTGGCGGGTTATGGCTGGAAATTAACCGCGTGGAGGCGGTGGGAAAAAGGCAGAAGTAGAAACCGCCGTGCCAGGGTGGTTAGCGAGCATTCTAGAGCAGTTTCAAGGGGTTTTTTCACCACCAAAGGGACTACCACCGAAGCGGGAGCACGAACATGCTATTGTGTTGAGGGAGGGGAGCAATCCGGTAAGCTTAAGGCCATACCGATACCCCCAGTTCCAGAAAGATGAAATTGAGAGATTGATTAAGAAGATGCTTGAAGCGGGTATCATCAAGCCGTCGGTCAGCCCATTTTCTAGCCCGGTTTTGTTGGTCAAGAAGAAGGACGGGTCTTGGAGGTTCTGCGTGGACTATCGGGCCTTGAATCGGGAAACAATTCCTGATAAATATCCTATCCCAATCATCGACGAATTACTCGACGAACTCACGGGGCAGCAAT